TGTGTGTGCCTGTGCGTGTGTGTGTGTGCGTGCGTGTGTATATGTGTGTGTGTGCGTGTGTGCGTGTATATGTGTGTGTGTGCGTGCGTCTGTGCCTGTGTGTGCGTGTGTGTGCGTGCGTGCGTGTGTGTGCGTGTGTGTATATGTGTGTGTGCGTGTGTGTATGTGTGCGTGTTCGTGCGTGCGCGTGTGCGCGTGTGCGTGTGTGTGTGCGTGCGTGTGTATATGTGTGTGTGTGCGTGTGTATATGTGTGTGTGCGTGTTCCTGCGTGCGTGTGTGCGCGTGTGCGTGTGTGTGTGCGTGCGTGTGTATATGTGTGTGTGTGCGTGTGTATATGTGTGTGTGCGTGTTCCTGCGTGCGTGTGTGCGCGTGTGCGTGCGTGTGTGTGTGTGCGTGTGTGTGTGTGTGTGCATGTTCGTGCGTGCGTGTGTGCGCGTGTGCGTGCGTGTGCGTGCGTGTGCGCGAGCATTTTAGCAGCCCCGCTCCCCCCTCCAGCCACCTTCACGCCCTCTGGGAAATGTCCCGTTGGAGGGACGTCCGGCAGGAACGGGAAGGGTAGGAGCGGCCTGCGTGGAGGGCGAGAAGGGAGGAAGGAGATGAGGTCACAAAGCCCCTTGCACTCACTCCCGCCTCCAGCCTGGCCGCCGTCTGTTCTCCAGGAGCTTCTGGAACGTCAGACGTCTGGGCCCCGTCCCCGCCCGGCTTGGTCCGTGCCCCCAGCACTTCCGGGAGTCCCGGGCAGACCCGGCCACTCCTCCTGTGCCCCGTCCCCGCCCGCGGCCCTGTCCCTGCTGCACCTCCGGCCCCCAGGCCAGCTCCCCAGCAGCAGAGCCGGGCAGGAGAGCTTGGGCTGAGAGGCTCGTTAAAGCTCTGGAAGGAGCCGAGTGGGTGGGCGGAGGTGAGAGCGGGACAGGCTCGGGGGGCGTGGGGCCCCTTCCTCCTCTCCTGAACACGAGCGACCAAACGAACAGAACTGTGACGGGGCAGGGCAGAGGCAGGGCAGAGGCCGAGGCCCGGGCTCCATCAGCCTAAAAGGCCAAGGCTGTGGACAGGCGTGGGGAGACAAGGGGACAGCGACACACAGCCCCGGGCTCTCAAGCCCTCAAGTGGGGCCTTCGAGGGCCAGGAGTGGTCACATTCGGGTGAGGTCCTCAGCTCACCGGCCGAGGAAGGGCAGCTTCTCCCACCTGCCGCCGGGCCTGCTGGGCTTCCTGCTCCACCTGGAGCCGGATCCCTGAGCCCGTTCAGGTCATTCTCCCACCACCATCCTCGGAGCAAGGACAGGGCTGTGCAGGGCACCGTGGGGTCGGTCCCGGGTTCCAGAGCAGACAGGTGGCGTCACAGCTTCACATCGGCTCAGCCCACCTGTTCGTGGAGCCGCAAATCCGATCCAGTCTGTGGGGAGGCCCAGGGCAGGTGAACGGTCTGCCCGGAGCGTTCACCGGCTGCTCCCTGCATCTCCCGCGGTGGAGGGGCTGCCGTCGGCCACAGCTCCGGGGGCACCATTTACACGGAGAGCCACAGAGCTCGAGGGGCGGGGCTGGGTCCCCAGGCCACGGTACTTTCCAGTGTGACAGCACCTTCTCCTGCCTGTGTTCTCCCTGTCCCCTCAGGCTCTTGAGCAACAACAAGATCACCGGGCTCCGCAACGGGTCCTTCTTGGGACTGTCCCTGTTGGAGAAGTTGTAAGTGCCGGGCAAGGTGGGAAGGAGGTGGGGCTGGGGGCGCTGAGGGACAATGAGAAGCACGAGGACTCGGTGACCCCAGAACCTGCTGGCTGAGCAGGGCCCAGAACCAGAACCACGGGGACCATGCCCAGGGCCTGACCCCCAGGTGCAGGACAGACAGGGGCAGGCCTGGGAGCGACGCAGGGAAACCTCGCCGGTCTGGGCAGGGACGGGGCGCAGGGAAGCTCATTAACGCTCTTTAATGAGCAATTAGCTGGGAGGGCCGAGCCCTTTCGCTGGCCTCCTCCGCCCAGCTGGGAGCCCAGCATGAAAGGGCTGAGGGAGGCTTAATGTGATTGTGGCCTCTTTCCTCCTTCCCTAAAAACAAATCAACAAACGAAGCCCCGAGGGGCAGAGTTCTGGGCTGGAGGGGGAGGCATTGACCATTTTCAAGCCTCCCCCTGAGTCCCACCCTCGTCAGAGCCACATTCGCAGGAGCGTCCTTCAGGCTGCCCCACAGCCCAGGGCGGCAGGCCTTGGACTCAGGAATGCAGGGCCCTGCTAGCCCACGAGAGTCTGTCCCAGAGCTGGAGGCCCCGGAGGTCTGGTGGGGCCAGCCTGTGGAGCAGGGTTAGTGAGGAGGAGCCAGCGGCGCGGGAGTTTAGGGGAACGGAGAGACGCAGCAGCCCTGGCCTGTCCGCCGCCCCGCCTGGGTTGGAGACCTGACTCAGCCGCTCGAGCAAGTGACCGCACCTGCCATGCAAGGGGACTGAGTCAACCCCTCTCAAAATTCCCTCTTCCACTGTCATGCTCCAGGTCAAACCACAGCTTTGGGTCCTTGTCACCTCCGCCGATAAGGCCCGGGCCTCCCGTCTCTCCTGGAGACTGATTCTTGCTTTCTCTCCCACCCCCAGCCCCCTCTCCTAGCCCTGTTCCCATCCTCCTAGGCGTTCCCAATTCTACCGACAGGGCCCTGGGCCTCCATTTGGCCATCGTGCCCAAAAGCTTTGGATCGGTGCCATGGGAGATGCAGGAGTAAGGTGTGAAGTCTGCTCTCAGCAAGCAAGAGACTGCAGTCTAGTGGAGACCACACACAGCGCCATATACATTAGAATTAAGTAGGGTGGGGTTTCCATCAAGTTCAAAGGAGGGATCAGCGGAGGCCAGAGTGTTCGAGGGTAACAGAGATGCCGCATGCACATGACGTGGTGCTCAGCTCTTTAACCACGACAGCAGCCGCGAGGAAGCCTCTACTGTGCCCGTTTCACAGGGGAAGGGAAAGCCTCTCGCCCCAACCCTCGGGCTCTGATGGTCTGCTGGGGAGTGGGTGGAAAGGGGCCACGCCCGTGTTTGGGGCAGAAGGGCAGAGCAGCCTGTCTACTGATCCAGGGCGTGCTGGGGGTCGGGGGTGTCTCAGGGTGTTGATGTAAGACCGGCCTAAAAGCACGAATCTTAACTTGATGGGAAGGCTCTTCTCGCAAAGACCAGAAGGCACAGAGATCGATGCACAAGCAAGAGGTTTTTTATTTCCGGCATGCTGGAGGTCGCCCCGTTTTCAGGACAGGAGAGCCCCGAATTCACAATGCAAGCAGCTTTTATACAGTTTTTTTGAACAGATATTGTGATAGGATCAACTGTTGGTTATCTGTGGTGCTTTTAGATTTACAGGTGGGCTTCAGCTGGCGCCTTTTGGGTTTACAGGTGGGTTTTAGCAGGCTGGCACCCCTTTAGCGCATTTCTCAATTGTTTACCTTCCCCGGGGCCTGGCTTTGAACCAGCTATTTCCTGGATCCGGTGGGGGGCTATTAATGTTTAGTGTGCTCGGGCCTGACCTTTGTCACAGCCCCTGATAAGCTGCGTTGCTTATGCATTGTTACAAGACTGCATACATTAAGTTTATATTTTTCTACAATTCTACTACTTATATTCTATGCCCCCCCTACATTACAATTTATTTCCAACATTGACGGTGGCGCATGCACCCTGTGACCAGGTCCCTCTGACCATCTTCTCTGCAGCTCAGACTGGTCCTGACCTGGAGAAAGGGCTGCCACCAAGGTGTTGGTCTCCTTGGGTGCCAACACATAGGGAATGTTTTTATCCTCCCACCACACTTAAGCGTTCTGGAGCTCTGAGTCTTCTGCTCAGCCCAGGCTGGGTCACAGGAAGCCGATGCTGCTTCCAGGGGTCTTCTGGAGGAAGGCAAACAGCAGCTGCCTCTCCAGCCCTTAGCCCTGCCCCGCCAGGGCCAGTCCCTGCCTGTGCTGCTCGCCCTTCTCAGCACCAGTGGCCCGCTGACATCTCCCATCTTCAGTCTCTCACTGCAGCGTCATGAGGGCCCATTTCCTGCTGAAGGTGAAAAGATAGGCTTTTCCTTTCTGCCTGCACAAGCGCGTTGGGTCGGGCTCCTCACCCCAGCATGGGAAGCTGCACCCGGGTACATGCAAAGCGTGGGAAGCAATCAGAAAAATGGGAGCATAACCTGAGACTAAGGCGAGCTGGGGATCTGGGACTCGGTGCTGAGCCGTGGGATCTGGGAGGGGCACTGGGCATGAGAAAGCACCGCAGTGAGATTCTGCCTCCTGTGTCTGAGCACCTGCTCCCTCAGGAGCCCCGCGTTCCTGTTCCTTCCTGTGACAGGCGTGTGCTGAGTCCCTCTAGGAGCAGGCTCTGTTCTGGCACTGGGAGTGAGTACAGTAGACAGGGGGCTGCCCTCGGGGCACTCAGCCTCCCCTGCTGGGGCCCAGAAAATAGCAAACATTGTAGACACAAGAGTGCTGCAAAGAAAAACAAAGCAGAGTGAGGGGGACAGAAAGCAATGGGGCAGGGGTCCTATTGTAGGTAGCTAGGACAAGGAAGGCCTTGCCAATGAGGTGGCTGAGCCTGAGACCTGAGGGACAGAGGGCAGCCGTGGCAAAGGCCCAGGGTCCAGAGAATGTCTGGTGAGTCGTAGAAATGGAAGAAGGGCAGTGTGACTGGGCAGAGTGAGTCGGGGACAGGGGAGTCTGCTGACCTGCGCTAGGACTTTGGTCACATGGTGCAGGGGAGGGTGTCCGAGGCGGGGCCTTGGTTTCCTGATTTTTAAGGTGCATTATGGATTTAAAATTCTATGATCCTTGGATGGGTGTGTGATACCCACAGTGCTGACGGGGCCCCTTTCCTGAGGAGGGGCCCTCTGGGCAGAGGGGTGTGCTGGACACAGCAGGACAGGGGTGGTGCCTGAGTAGGGGCTGGAGAGCTCCGGGTCTCCAACCTGGCTGATCACCACTGTATTCACAGAGAAATTCATTTTAAGGAAGTGACTCATATGATTTTAAGGACTGGCAGATCCAAAATCCCAGGGCAGCCAGCAGCTGGAAACTCAGGCAGGAGCTGATGCTGCAGTCTTGAGACAGAATTTCTTATTCTCCAGGAAACTCGTTTTTGCTCTTAAAGCCTTCAACTGATGGGACGAGGCCCACCGTATGATCAAGGGTAATCTCCTTTACTTAAGGTCAGCTGACTGTAGATGTTAACCACATCTGTTTTTGCTCTTAAAGCCTTCAACTGATGGGACGAGGCCCACCCGTATGATCAAGGGTAATCTCCTTTACTTAAGGTCAGCTGACTGTAGATGTTAACCACATCTACAAAAATCTTCACAGCAACGTCTAGATTAGTGTTTGACTAAGTCACTGGCTACGGCAGCCTGGCCAAGCTGACACATGAAACTAACCATCACAAGCACTGTCCCCGGTGGGGGAGGGCCCACAGGTAGCACAGGTCCTGGGCCCCACTCCCGGAGACCCTAGTTTATCAGGCGGGTGGGGCCTGGGGATTTTTTACATGGCGGGCAGGCAGGCAGGCGAGCCTTGTGCTCATCTGGGTTTGGAAGTCAGTGGACAAGATGACCCTGGGCTGTGGGCCTTTCATCACAGAGACGCCGTGGCCGGGCATGTAGATGGTGCTCAGGAAACACTGATCTCTGTCCTGTCGGGCTCAGATGTCTGGGCTTGGGCAGCTGAGGTTAACATCTCACAGCCCCATGGAGGGGTGGGACGGAGCCCAGTCACTGAGATGGTAGTTCCAGGCCCCTCAGAACATGCCCACCCGTCCTCCCTGTGTTGACAGCCCCTCCGGCCTGTGAGAATGAGTTGTGTGTAAATGTTGGGGGGCCCTTGCTGGCTGAGAGTGGGGAGTGAGATGGCGCGATGCCTGTTTGCAGTGGAGGGCTGAGGCTCCAGAGGCTGGCGTGGGGGTGGAGATGGGGGCACACTGTCCTCTCTACCAGCCGGGCAGGATGGACAAGAAAACCCGAAACAGGGCCCAACAGCGGCCATTCACGGCCAGCCCCGTGAGTGCACGGAAGCACCCAGAGCCCTCCTCTCTGTATCCCACCACCCCTCAGCATGGCCAAGCCTGCTTGTTGCCCGGAGCAAAGACTTCTGGAGTGGGGTGCGGCGGGAGGAGCTGATGAGAGCACGGACTTCACTCTGGTGTAAAAGGAGGCCTGGGATAGAGCCCGCCTTGGTCATTTACCTTCTGGGTGCCTCCCCAAGCCTCAGTTGCTCACCTGGAAAAATGGGGCAATGACAAGTTGTTATGGGGGTGGCTGAGCCTGTGACCCAGAGTGCCCAGAGAGCACGGGCCTTCAGTAAATGGTAGTTCCCTTCCCCTCTGAAGAGTTCCAGTGGCCTTGGGCAGGCAGTTATGTAGTTGAAATGTGACTTCTCTAAGTTGGCTGATGGCTCCTTCCTCTGGTCCCTGCTCCTCTGTCCAGATTCCCCCTCGCCCCCGCCCACAAACACATACAGCAGGGAGCAGGCCCCCAGAAGATGTTGGGGCTCCCCCTAGACCCGGGAGCAAGGCTGTGTGCATGGAGAGTGTGCATCTCTGCAGACGCAGGCCCCCAGAGGCTGGTGCGTGGCTGGAGGGAAGGGCCTGGGTGGGGGAGCCTGGTCAGCCCCAGGATGATTTGTCGTTGCCTAATGAGATTAATGAGCCCCGGGGCTGGTATGCGGCGGGCGCTGAGGCACTCATTAGAAGCAGATGCTCATGGGAATGACGGCAAGTGGGGGCCGCGGCTGGGGGCTCACTCGTGTGCCAGGTGGTTTCCATTCATCTGTGGGCGGGGCCGCAGGGGCCTGGGGCCTGTGCCTCCCCCTCCCATCCCCGCCAGCTCTGGGGAGGAAGGCCGATCGGCCCGGGACAGCCCTCTTGTTTGCTGTGGTAGCTCCGATGCCCGACAGTCTGTGCGCTCAGTACCTGTTGGACAGTGTCAGAATAACAGGGGCCCTGGGGGATGGGAGGCCGGGACCACAGTGGGTTTCCTGAAGCCACCAGAACCTCTCCCACTCCTCCCCCCAGACAAACTATCCCTGGGGGGTGCTGGCCCAGTTCTTAGCCAGCCCCTCTTCCTAATGAACCGTGGAAGCCTTGCAGGGCCCAGGGAAAGCTGCTCTGCGGCCTCCGAGCCTATAATTTGGTTTTCAAACCCACAAGCAGGGAGGTCTGTGGGGGCCGGAGGGAGCCAACTTCGGGCCACCCCACCCTGCCTGAATGTGGGCACACACACATGTTGTCACACGAACTCACTCACTCTTAACAGCTCTAGCGAGATATAATTTACATACCATAAAGTTCACCCGTTTGAAGCATGCAATCCAAGGCCGCTTCGTATATTTACAGAATTGTATGATCATCACCGTAATCTAACTTTAGAACATTTTCATCAACCGCTAAAAAAACCTTGAATCATTAGCGTTCACTCGCGTTCCCCCACCCCATGTGCCCCAACCACTAATCTGCTTTCTGTCTGTAGATTTGCCCGTTCTGGACATTTCATATAAATGGAATCATTCAATATGTAATCTTTTATAACTGGATTCTTTCTCTCGACATAATGCTTTCAAGACATTATAAATTTAAAAACATCCATGTTTTAGCAGGTATCAGCACATCATTCCTTTTTATGGCCAAATAATATTCCACTGTATGAATATACCACACTGTTTACGCATTCCACGGCTGATGGACATTTGGGTAGTTTCTCCTTTCTGGCTATTATGAGTGATGCGCTATGAACATTCACCGACCAGTTCTGTGCGGCTGTACGTTCATTTCTCTCGCATACATGCCTAGCATGAAACTGCTGGGTCACATAGTAACTCTGTCAAACTGTTTTCCAAAGTGGCCGCTCCATTTACATTTCCACCAGTAATGTATAAAGGTTCCAACTCTGCAAGTCCTCGCCAACAGCTGCTGTTGGCAGCCACCTGAGCAGGCATGAAGTTGCATCTCAGGGTGGGTTTGATTTGCATTCCCCTCACAGCTGATGGTGCTGAGTACCCTCGCCTGTGCTGAGTGGCCATTTGTATGTCTTCTTTGAAGAATTGTCTATTTGAATCCTTTGCCCATTTTTTTTTCAGCTGGGTTATTTGTCTTTTTATCATTGAGTTGTAAGAGTTTTTATATCGTCTGGATAGAAGTCCCTTATCGGATATCTGATTTGCAAATATTTTCCCTCATTCTGTGGTTGTCTTTCACTTTCTTGATGGTGTCCTTTAAGCGTAAAAGTTTTAAATTTTTAGTAAGTCCAATTTATCACACACTTGTGCTCACAAACTTGCTGTTACACACTTAGCTTCCTTAGCTTCCTAAGCTTTTCTCAAGAAGGGCATAAGGCATGATTTTCTCCTGGAAGTCCTCCCTGCACTTCTGCTTTAGGGGGTCCTGCTCTTCCACATTGACATACATCAGGGGAGAGGATGTGCTGGAGTCAAGGGAGCCTGGTCTGGGTTGGGCGGTGGGTAGTGAGGAGGGGGCAGTTCCATCAATACACTGCGTCTCTCCCGGCTTCCAAGAAAAAGGCCCTGTGGAAGCAGACAGGGAGCAGGAGATTCTTTCCACGTGATAGAAACATCTGCGCAGCCTGGACAAGCTACTTTAGCCTCATGACTTCTCCTAAGAAATGAAGGGATCAGATTAGACAATCCAGAGCAGAGGTTCTTAAGCTGGGTTCTGCAGCCCCCTGAAATCATAAGCACAGTGTCAGGTGTAGAGCATTTTTCTGGGGCAGGAGTGTAAGGCCTTCATCAGTTTCTCAAAAGGATGTGCTAAGCAAGAAACGTTTGGAACAACCAATCTGTAGAACAGTTGCAGGTCCAAAAAATATCCTGCTTCTGTGGCAGCCTTCCTCCTGCCCCTAGGGAGGGTACAGCCCCGAGCTGCTTCCCTGACCAAGAGGCACCAGGAGATTTCACCTGCAGCTGGCCTGTGCCCCTCAGGAAAGGACCAAGGACTGGCCAACTCCCGAGGGCACTCGGAGGGGCTGCCTCCAGGCAGGCACGAGGCAAGGGGGGAAGAATGCCCGCACTTGGTGGAAGCTCCCCTCTCAGAGAGGCCCCGGCCTGGCTGGGCTGCAGGAAATCGAGGGCAGGAAGGGGCTGGGGGCTGAGTGCGCCTTGCTGCCATCTGCAGAGCATCAGTGGGGCAGGCGGTGGGGGCTCTCGAGGGGGCCAAGAGGAAACGAGAAGAAACACAAGTGAGCGGAGCGGGAAGGGGTGGGGGGCTGTGGCCTCAGCCCCTTGGCAGCCCATGAAGGGAAGTGACACAATGAGGAATGTGTTTCCCTCTGCCTGTCCCCCACATGGGGGCGGGAGGCAGAGCCCTGAGAATGGCCAGACCCCAACAGGGGCCAAGGGGCACATGCTGGAACAACACTGGAGGGGCGGGCTGTGAGGACGGGGGTCTGGGCAGCAAAAGCGGGGACAGGAAGGGCAACCCTGGGCAGGCAACCCTGGGCAGGCGGTGCTCGTCCTGAGCTGTCACTACGGTTCGTGCTGCCAGGGTCCTGGGGCCTGTGTGACTGCACGCTCCCCAGCACTCCCCAGCACGAAAGCCATCCCTCCTCTAGGGAGCTGGCCCCTGCTGGTGGCTTTCCCTCCTCTCTCAAGGGGACACAGGATTATGGAGACCGTTCAAGTCCTCTGAGTCCCTTGCATGAGTGGGAGCTGAGGGGTGAGGACCCCTGGCCGTGGGAAGGGCTGAGCAGGGCGTTTCATCTCTCTCTCTGGGCGTTTCTGTCCCCAGCTGGGACTGTGCACAAACAGGCCCCCTGGAGGGAGGGCACCTCCCTGTTCTGGACACCCATTTCCTCTCTCCCCAGCAGGGAGCCAGCTGAGTTAACCCCCTCCTGCCCATAATCCAGGGAGGTCCCTGAGGCTTTGGCAGGCAGAGCCAAGAGCCCCCGCCTCAGTTTAGGCTGCAGGGTGGCCAGGCCTCAGAAAGCAGGTCGACCCCAGATCTCTCTGTTAATTTCCTGTCTTCCTGCCATAGGCCCTTTTGACATTTTGGTCATTCCAGAAATCACCCACCCACTCGCTCGTAGTCTCCTGGGCACTGGGGTGGGGCAGAGAGGTGTTGGAACACGTGGAGCGAGCAGGGGGCTGTGGCCTCCATCCCAGGGTCCCCAGAGAGGGAGGTCACCTGAGCAGTCAGCCCCCTGGGAAGTAAGCCCCCTGTGGGCACAAACCTGTTCTGGTCTGGCTCAGGAAAGAGCCAGGTGGCCCTCAAGTAGGTGGGCGAGTGGCCCTGGCCTTCTAGGCACCTCTCTCCCTGGCTGTGCCCAGCATGGAAGACAGGAGTGACGAAGGTGGCCAGTGGGCCAGGACACCCCTTGGTGCTCAGTGGCCCATGGTGTTGGGCTGGGGCCAGCTAGGTAGCCCACAGGTCCCCGAGTGGGCAGGAACTGCCCCTTCAGCCTGCCCCTGCGGCCCTGGGGGGCAGGAGTGAGGAAGGAGGTGGGAGCTGCACGCTGGCCCAAACTGAGCTGAGCCACCACTAAGGGCCGAAGCTACGGTGAGGACACCTACAGCCCGCTCCTCCAGGCAGGGTGCAGCTTGGAGCCACATCCTGTCCCGGCACGACCTGCGGAGCCCGACCTGGACCTGGGCTCCTGGGAGACCCATGGAGAAGGTGGGCTGAGGACCCACCTTGCCCCTTCGGACTTCCCCACCTGAAGAACGGGGGCTGGTCATCGGTCAGCTGCCCGGCCCGTCAGATGGGGAGACGTGCAGGACACGAGAGCTATGGGGCACCTCCGACGGCCAGCTTCAAGAGGACTTCCTCCGTGTGGCGATGTACAGAAGACCACAACGCCTGTTCTCAGTGCGGTCCAGAGCGGCCCCGTGAGACCCCTGGGCAGCTCAGAGGCGGCGCGACGTGGAGGCGACCCCCAGCCCCCAGGGCAGCGCCGCTCTGCTCCCGGCTCCCCTCAGCCCTCCCATGGCTTCTCAGGGGCTGCGACCTGAGAGTGTGTGTTGGGGGAGGGGGTCCTTAATCCAACCTGCAGAGATTTAGAAGGAACCCAAGTCCCAAAGAAACTCAACCCTTGTGGTGACAGAGAGGACACCCCGCCCCAGGCAGCAGGAGGCCCAGGGGACAGGCGCGAGGACCTCTGCTTGCCTCCCGCAGGGACCTGAGGAGCAACGTGATCAGCACGGTGCAGCCCGGTGCCTTCCTGGGCCTGGGGGAGCTGAAGCGCTTGTGAGTGGCACGTCCTGCCCCAAACCTCCCAAGCCCTCCCTTCCCCCTGGAGAAAGTCCCATGGGTCCCCTGAGCAGCCTCTACTCAGCCCCACTGTCCCTTCTTCTCCCCACCCACAGCTGCCCCTCCCCGCGCAGCATATGGGCTGGGGTCCAATGAGTGGGCATTCAAGCCCCCCTGTGGCTCTGGCCCCGACCCCTTGTCCTTTTTTGTCCCGCGCCCCACACCAGCCCTGGCCACACACGTGTGTCCCTCATACGCGGATCCGTGTGCTGCCATGTAGCCGCCTTGCTGAGGCTGTGTGTGTCTCTCTAGAGATCTCTCCAACAACCGGATCGGCTGTCTCACCTCTGAGACCTTCCGAGGCCTCCCCAGGCTTCTCCGACTGTGAGTGAGGGGCAGCAAGTGGGGAGGAGGGGCCGGGGGAAGCCCTCCCACCCCCCAGGAGGGCTGGGGAGGAAGCAGGCAGCACCAAACCTTTACGGGTCCCCACATTCTCTTCCGCCACCGCCTGCCTCCTCTGGCCCAGGGAGACCCTGAGACCCCATCTCACTGCTCCCTGCCTCTGCAGAAACATATCTGGAAACATCTTCTCCAGTCTGCAACCTGGGGTCTTTGATGAGCTGCCGGCACTTAAGGTTGTGTGAGTATCTCTTCCTAGCCCAAGTCCCCAGACCCCTGCTCCCTGCCTCTGCCCAAGAGGTAGACACATGGGCACCGTGACCACAGCTTTATGAGCAGTCAGAACAGAAATGCCTGGAACACTACCGTGTTCACCTGCTGTGATTGGCGGAGACAGGGGCAGTCCACACATACCCAAGTTTGTCCTCCCCAGCCTTTTCCAGCCTCCTCCCTTCCCGGGGCCCCATCCCCACTCCATGAGCCCACCTCCCTCCGCTCTACTCCGTGACCCCTCTACCTACGCTGCAGGGACTTTGGCACCGAGTTCCTGACCTGTGACTGCCACCTGCGCTGGCTGCTGCCCTGGGCCCGGAATCACTCCCTGCAGCTGTCAGAGCACACCCTCTGTGCCTACCCCGGTGTCCTGCATGCCCAGGCCCTGGGTGGCCTCCAGGAGGCCCAGCTGCGCTGCGGTGAGCACATCCTCACCCTGAACACTTGCCAGGGACCCTGCCTCGGGCCCCGACCCCAGGCCCGGGCCTGGCCAGGCTGACTTGAGGCTCTCTGGGTCCCGTGTCATTGGGTGATGGGCATGTCTTCCAGGACACCCTCTGTCCTTCATTCACCCTGGGGTCAGTCCTCTGTCAGCTTTTCTAAACTTCCTCCAGGCCGCTTGTTTATGTTTTCACCTGTTACCATCTCTTGGGGTAACACATGTGTTGAGAAAGGAACATTTTCTTTGTCCAAAAACCACCTTCTCCTCTCCTTTGCTCCTAGCCCTGGGGACTCTCTCCAGCCTGGCTTCCTTCTCAGGTGGAGCAGGCTGCAGACAGAGGGCCCGGCCCCGCGCTGCTGGGTTCCCAGTCCAGGGCAGGCCCTCACGTGCTGTCTCCTTCCACAGAGGGGGCCCTGGAGCTGCACACACATCACCTCATCCCATCCCTACGCCAAGTAGTGTTCCAGGGTGACCGGCTGCCCTTCCAGTGCTCTGCCAGCTACCTGGGTGATGACACCCACATCGACTGGTACCACAACCGGGCCCCCGTGGAGGGTGACGAGCAGGCGGGCATCCTCCTGGCCAAGAGCCTCATCCACGACTGCAGCTTCATCACCAGGTGTGTGCCCTGCCACCCCCAGCAGCCCACGGTCCGGGATGGGGTTGGTCATGGTACCCATCACCCCCCCAAAAAAGAGCTATGCCCACACCTGCTCTTGGGAGGGTGCGTGTGTGTGTGGAGATCTAGGACTAAGTCATAAGTGGTCTGAACAGAGGTTAGAAGTTAAACACCTGATAGACAAAAACGGTGGAACGATGATGTCTGACTTCCCTTTGGTGCTTTCACAATGTGTACGGTGGCTCTCGTCTGTGCCATGAGATGTCACCTCTAGCACAGACCTGCAAAAGAGGTCTTTTCCTCTCCACGATAAAGATGGGGAAGCTGAAGCTCAGGAGAAAAATATCATGAGGCGATCGGAATAAAAGGAGCGAGTGGGCAGCCCACGGCCCGGGATGGGGTTGGTCATGGTACCCATCACCCCCCCAAAAAAGAGCTATGCCCACGCCTGCTCTTGGGAGGGTGCGTGTGTGTGTGGAGATCTAGGACTAAGTCATAAGTGGTCTGA